CAAATGAATGATTATAAACTTATTTTACATATGAGAAGAGAAGAAGACTAGAAAGGCTGGAAATGAAAGGAAACCCATCAGTGCTTTGCTCTGAACTGTAAGCTAGTGTGCCATGTTTTTGTATATTCTACACTTCAAGACTTTCATCAGAAAATACTTACTAAAATTTTTTATTAAAGATAAAATATTCTGACTTCATAGGCACACTGACTATAGGCATTTATCTTCTCTACCTCCAAGTACTCTATTAAAATGACAAAAAAATGAAAAACTATGTATAAACACATGTCAAATACAAAATCAGATCAAATTGAAAAATTGTAGAAGTTTATTATGAATACAAAAGAACTACTCACAAAACAGTGGAAGAATCAGCTCACAGAAGACACAGTGCAACCTACAATATATTAAGGAAAGGTTGTGACCTTGTCAGTGATTGGCCACTCTATGATATTAACATCGTGTTTAGACCAAGTAGAGCTATTAAATTGGATCCTCTGGTGCTGATTGATTTACTTTGACTGAATTGTCCCGAAAAGTATGTAAAGCCTACAGTGAATGTTTCATATATGTTTAGTTATTGTTCAAAGAAGCTGAGATAACTTAGATTTGGTACACAGTTATATACATTAGACCACATATGCAAACTGAGGCTTCCAGTTTTAATTTTAAGCTCTTAGGCTACAGGGAGATGGAAAGGTGGTATCAGCACATCAGCACTATCAATATGCTTCTGGTAAGTGGCAAAAATGTCATATGGTTGGTTGTCCCTCATAGTCCATGGGAGATTGTAAGACTCCTGCCAATTTTAAGTTCTATGAATTCTCACAGTTCTTGGAGGAAATGTCAGAACATTTGCATATGATCTACACATATCTTCTATTTACTTTAAGGTCCAGAATTTTTTAAATACCAGTTGAAATGTGGATGTTACATAAAATATTGTTACGTGTTATTGTTGTAAGACCAATGAGAAGAAATAACATCTGTATACAAAAAATAGTGTTTCTAATCTTTTTTGGCTGCTCATACAGATTCCAGACAACTAGGTTATTCCCCAGAGAGACTACATAAGAAATTACACACACACACACACACACACACACACACACACACAGAGAGAGAGAGAGAGAGAGAGAGAGAGAGAGAGAGAGAGAGGATGGTGGGAGGGAGGTAGAAGTCTTCTGAACACTACCAATTAGTAATCTTCTGGTTTAAAAGAAAAAGCAGGTTTTGCAGCAGAACAGGCACGAGTGTATTGATTGCAGCACTGTGATTGCTACTGCAGGGGATTGTGAGGGGAGCATGGATGAACACAGAAGCCACAGCATGGATGCAGTGACCTATGATGATGTTCACATCAACTACACTCAGGAAGAGTGGGATTTGCTGAATCCTTCCCAGAAACGTCTCTACAAAGATGGGATGCTTGACACCTACAGGAACCTCACTGACACAGGTTACAGTTGGGAAGACCATAATATTGAAGAACAATGTCAAAGTTCTAGAAGATGTAGAAGGTAATTTTCATGTGCAAGTTTCTACAAATTTGCCCCTGGACAAATTTTAATGGGTCCTGGAAGATTTAAAGAAAAGCAACAGTGTAAATAAGCACAACTTAATGTATATTGATAATTCTTAATTTATCACAAAAACTCCTATTTCAGTGTCAGGTAGCTATTCTATGTTTGCAAGGCATTCCTGTGAAAAAGAAAACAAGGAAACAGTGCCTTAAGAGATACCACCATTTGAATAATAACCCCATGAGAGCCATGCTTTGAAAATGCCAATCCGTTGAGTTTCATAACACTCATATTTTAAATGGTATACAAGTTGAAGATATGATATATGTATGTCCAAGTCCTTCTAAGAATAAAAGAGTCTATACTAAAGCTGGCATTACTCACATATTTGTGACTTGGCTAAGTATATTGAAAGGGTCAGTTTATGAGAGTCAAGAAGGTTGTTGTAGAGAAACATTAATCCCTGTACCACATGTCTGTGAGGAAAATAAAGTCAAACTGTGTAAATGCAAAAAAAGGAAAAATCAGACCCAGACATGGTGCTACATGCTTTTAAACCCAGCATTTAGGAGGCAGAGACAAATAAATCTCTGTAAGTCTAAAGAAAGCCTGCTCTACACAATAAGATCCTAGAGAGCCTAGGAATATAACAGAGACCATGTGGAGTCTGTTCTTGGTAGTCAACTTGACTACTATGAAACTAACCAAAACCAGCGCTGCAGGGTACAACTGCAAGGGACTTTTTTCATTGAATCATTTGAAGTGGTAAGACCCACCCTAACTGCATGTCTTCTGAGGTGGGAAGATCCACCTTAAATCTGGGCCACGCCTTTTGTAGCACCTTTATTGAAGAAGGAAGACTTTGTTCTGCCTGCTTCCCCTTCCTCTTGCTGGCAAGTTCATTCCTTGACTGGCATTAGAACCTACTTCTTTGGGATTCCAATGGATATTGAAGACCAGCTGAGTCATCCAGCGCCATGGACTAAAAAACTACTGAACTCTTAGACTATCCATTGGTAGACAGCCAATGCTGGACTAGCTATACCACAACCTGTAAGCCCCTCTAATCTCATATATGTTATGCATATATATATATATATTCATTTTAATCAGTTGTATTCCTCTAGAGAATCCTAAATAATACATCCCTCCACACTAGCCTTCATAGTTCTAGAAGGTGTTATTATTCTGGCTGGTAGGGGAGCAAAGTCACCAACAGTCTTATTGAGCTGTTACTTCTGTGAGTTTCAATAATGAGCTGCCCTACCAGATGTGCCCACTAGTGCAACAGTGGAATGACAGATGTGGGGGTGTCTTAGTTTATTTTCTATTATTGTAATAAACACTACAACAAAAAGCAATTTGGTGAAGAAAGGATTTATTTGACTTACAGGTTAGAGTCCAGCTTTGGGAAAAGCCTAGACAGGAGGAACTGAAGCAGAAACCACAGAAGAGCACTGCTTCTTGGTTGTTCTAGCTTGATCAGTCTGCTTTATTGTACACCCCAGGACCACCTGCTCAGGCATAGCATTCTGCAGCAGGCTGGATACATACACATTAATCATCAAGAAATAATTCTCTGCAAGAAAAGAGATACCTTAATAGAGGGAGCCATTATAGGTTTAAATAGAAATCTGGCGCTAGGGAAATGTCCAGACATCTACAAGGATGACACCAACTAAGAATATAAGCAATAGTGGAGAGGCTACCTTAAATGCCCTTCCCTTATAATAAGATTGATGGTTATATTATATGCCATCCTAGAGCCTTCATCCAGTAGCAGATGGAAGCAGAAGCAGATACCCACAGCTAAACACTGAGCTGAACTCTGGAATCCAGTTGCAGAGAGTGAGGAGTAATGAGCAAAGGGGTCAAGGCAAGGCTGTTGAAACCCACAGAAACAACTTTCCTGAACAAGGGGAAGCTCATGGTCCCCAGACTGATATCTGGTGAACCAGCATAGTACTGATCTAGACCCCCTGAACATTGGTGTCAGTTTGGAGTTCTGAGCAGACTGGGGCCTCTGGTAGTGGATCAGCATTTATCCCTAGTACACGAATGGACATTGGGAGCTCATTCCACATAGAGGGATACCCTCTCAGCCTAGACACATGAGGGAGGGCCTAGGCCCTGCCCCAAATGATATGACAGACTTTGATGAACGCCCATGGAAGGCCTTACCCTATCTATGGAGCAGAGGAGGGATGGGATGTGGGTTGGTGTGGGGGGCATGGGAAGATGGGAGGGAGAAGGAACTGGGGTCGATATAGAAAATAAGATTGTTTCTAATTTAAATAAAAAGTAACAAAAAGAAATAATTCTCTGAGTTAATAAACTTCTTTTCCATAGTTGTTGTGTAACCATAAAAAGATCATCAATAAATTCAACACTATCTGTGTTAAAGGAACATGTTTCCAAAGCTAGCATTTGCTTTAGTTTCACTTCAGTTTCTTTTTCTTCTCTTAAATTCACACTCAGTTTAGCTGTCATATTTGCCCTCCAGGGGACACATCATTATAAATGGAGCCAAGATGCCTCTCATCATGAGAAATACATTAAATAACAGATATCAGGGGATGATGGCCCTGGAGGGAGCTTTGGTAAGCTATATCCAATTTATGATGTGTTTCCCTGTGTTTTTTTTTTTTTTGCTGCAGAAGGCAGAGACTATGACTAAGTCAAGAAATGTTCTTAGAGCTTATGCCAAGCCTTATGTTTTTAACTTCAACATGTGCTAAACATAATCTCAGTGTCACATAAAGGAACACACACAAACAGAGCAAAAGTATCTTGAAAGTGCAGTTGTTTTTTTACAAAAAGGGTGTGCTAGACCCCAAAACATGCTAGTAACACACCAGAGCCAACACAGCTCTCGTGTTTTATCCCTGATGTAACTAAAAATTGTGTCATCCCACTGGTGGGAGCTCAACTTCAAAATCTGATGTGATTCACTCATCTGTAGAAAAGGGAAAGGAAAGAAAGGCTTAGGATATATAGGCCTTGCTGGGATAATTACCTCTTATTTTAAAAAAACAAACAAACAAAATACTTTTCCCAAAACAAAACAGGGTACTTGCAACACATGGCAAAGAAGCATCAGCAAGTGGTGGAAGTAAATGATATAAAAGGTCCTGCACCCACAAATGGTTTCGTCATGTTGGGATAATGAAGGCCTGAGGGTTGGAAAACCCTACAGAATGCTCACTACAATTTTGTAACCTTGCAGATAAGTGAAAGAAAGGTAGACTGTCCCTGAGAACCTGAATATGCAATCCACACCTGAATATGTTCAGGGAGCACTAGTGAAAGAATTGTGACTGAGAGCTGGCTCAGTGGTTAAAGCTCTGGCTTCTCTTCCAGAGGACCTGAATTCAATTCCCAGCACTCACATGGCAGCTCACAACTGTCTGTAACTCTAGTTCCAGGAGATCTGAGACTCTCACACAAATATAGATGCAAGCAAAACAGCAATAAAATAAAATAATTTAAAAAAGAAACTCTCCTTCTAGAGATTGAGGGAAAGCACATAAAATGAAAGGATCAAGGGTGTCTTGGGGTAGAGAAGCCACAATCCTAAGAGGGAATACAAAAGAAGAACTAAATCTAGGTTGTAATGAGGAGCCAGAAACATCAGTATGTGGTTTTCTGGGCAGATCTATTAGAGTCCTATGACCTTGACCATTCCAATACACGATTTTCATATTTCCACTTCTCCTATAGACAGCTTCATTCTCCTGAATATTGGTAGATTTCTTTAAATATTGCAAAAAAAGAAAATTAACTAAATAGGAGTCTGTCTGTACTCATATTCTAAATTATTATGTCTGATAAACTACACAGTTTGCATCTTGCCATTAGTGAGTGGTAATTTATAAAGCTTAAAGTGTTTATTTAGCACACAATTTCTGTTTGAAGTAACATTATTTAATAGTAGGTACTGGTATCTACAGCTACATGTTCTTTCTTGACCTCACTCCCACAAATTATAATAGACACACCCATATCTATTAGTCTCATATCCCTATTGAAAAAGTCCCAAGGTGCCTTACAACTTAGTCCATCTGGATTTTTTAATTTCCTTCAAAACAACTGATACAGTCTTTGAAACACTATGTTTTTGGTTAGTTTTCTGCTTATAGCAATCAAAAGTTGTATGCCTTAGCATAACTATAGCATAAAGTCATAATAAGTCACAGAAGATATGGAAAATGAAGAACATTGAGCAATCCTCAGTGCAGTGATGTTTCTTTCCAATTCTTAGAACTGGGATTGCAAGGCTGCTTTGTTTCTTCCTGGACTCAATGCAATTCACAGCAAACTGCCAAGTAAATGCTCATGTGATCATAACTGGCTTTTCCTATAAAAAAAAAGAGGGAAACATAGTAAGTAACAAATATACTCTCCACTTCAAATAAATTTTGGGAATCAACATTTCATCACAAACCTTAAAAGTGAAAATAGAAAGTCATGCACAGAAACAGGCCAGAGGCGAAATCAGTTTCCTTATCTAAAATAAATGGTTACATCTCTCGGTTTCATTTTGGGCTGCTGTACCAAAGAACCACAAATACAGAGCTTCCCAGGGAGACATTAACTTCTCCAACCTCTGGAATAGGGGAAGGAAGTTCCCTGTTTCTGCTTCCTTCTCAAAAGGGCACTGATTCCCATCATGAGAATCTCACATTCATGACCCAATTTTCTTCCAAGGACCCCATCTCAAGATTCAATTCATGAGAATTTGGCGATGCAATTCATTCCCTAGCACTTACTAAACATCATTGCTCTTCTGTAAAGGAAACCCAGAATCCTTCACTGAAGTCCTTTCAGATGGTTAGGGACTATGAACTTAAATAAGTATGTGGTTTCCTAGGCTTCTGCCCACATAGCTTCTGGATGAAATGCTGCTCTATGCCCAAGAGAAGGAACCCTCATTTGCAAAGACTCTAATTTTGTCCATCATAGATGAGTATCTCTTATAACCTGTAAGATTAAGGTACTCTC